TCAATACCCGTTTTATCATGAGCTTTATCATGAGTGTTGTTCAAATGAGTGTTATTTATCATGAGTGTTATTTAAAACGAGCATCGACAAAAGTTGAAAATCTTATGAAATTGATCAAGAAATTCCACAAAACATCATCAATGCTGAGTCCGCTGTTATTTCTAACATATATGATACGTGCAATGGACGGACGGCTGTACAGTCACCAGCTTAATTAGATGCACGAAGTATCCTCGCATTCCATCCACCACCCGCACATAATACAACGGACATTCGCTGAAAATGTCGGCATGTCGTTTTAAGTTCGGTTCTTACCCCACGATACACTTAACCACCAAGAGCGCAACCTTCTCTGCCTGTCTTATCTGGTTGTGCGTAGTTCACCAAAACCCTCTTTCGGCATGTTCAGTCGCTTGTCTGTCGCAGTGCAAAAGGAGCGGTCTAAAGGTCAACAATAGGGGTGGCTGCCGTATTTACATTTCGACATTCCTTTCAACACCCCATTCCACCAACCAGTGCAAACATGCGATCCCGTCTTCCGCCAGCAGTGCTGAGCCCTCACGGACAGCCGTCGATCAGCGCCGGGGAAACGAGCTCGGCAGACACCCCCCGACGCGCGGAGGGCACCGCTCGACCCGCCATGGCCAAAAACAACGGCGTCCGGTCGGACGGAGCACCCCTCCCACAGCATATTGATTTTCACCGGCGCGTGTCAGATGTTTCGTCCAGGGGGCGGGTGAGCCGTCGGCCGGTGTTCCTGTCCGGAGCTGAGCTTGGCCCAGCACGACCGCTCGTCTGTCGTGCTCGCCGGCGCCCGCCGACCGCTCCGACTCCGAGATAGTCTGCCGCTAATCCGCCGGCTCTGCTGCCGGCTCGAGACCAACTTGCGTGCGACACGAGCGGCGCAGTGTCGGCCCGAGCTGGTCGCATCTGGCGCACAGCACCACTTAAGCAGCTGGCCTCAGCGGGACCGCTCACTTTACCGCACTGCGCCTGGTAGGGTCAAACTAACAACTTCTTGCCACTAGGCTATTGGTACCTATATATACATACATACATATATATATATATATATATATATATATATATATACACGAATGAACCATACGGCAACGAGCTAGAATTGAATCGGACTATTGATTTTGCGAGGTACGTAAGTCATGAGTAAAATGATTCAACGCAAGCAAAGAGCCTGAGTTGGGCTGAATAAAAAACGGAACGGATATGAGCCACGAGCTGAATCGGAACCCAACATATGAGAGCCAGTCCTCAGTCGGCTAAAAAAATCGAGTCGAACACAAGTCTGAAGATAACACATGTGTCTTCTTTAACTACTTTATAATCTGACAGACAATGCAAAAAGCAACGTTCCAAAACCTGAAAAAGCATTACCCACAGGTACCAAAAACACAAAATGGCAAAGTATTTGAAAAAAATATGCCAAAATACACCAATATATCTGAAATGCCAACATCGCTAGCTCTCGCTCTCGCATTGCGCCAATAGCTGCGAAGCACACAAGCCGTTTTTCGAGCTGGCCAATCATTACCCTGGTGTCGACCTGAACGCCGCTTCTTGAAGGAATTCAAGACGGCTGTCCCATCCCTAGTTTCGCCAGATAATCCCTTTCGTAATGTCCAATTCTTCCCATATAGGAAACGCTAATGTATAAATATCTTTCAACATAGGGCGAACTATGTCCTGCATGTTCCAATAATGCAGTATATTCAGCATACAACTACCCACCATAATTGCTGCTTATTAGCGACACGCCTTTCATACGAGTCATGTGGCGACCACACACGCGCACAAAGAGACTGCCCCACCTGCCAACTTTGCCCCCTAACCCGTAACGCCACTCGTTGATGTTCGTAGAGTGAAACTGGCCCGTCGGTTGAACTGTCTGGGATGGATTGGATTGCTGCCCCGTCTGCTGGCGTCATTGGACGCAGCTGGGCGCAGCAGCGCGACGACTCTGGCCTCCAGAGCAGAGCCGTCGCCACGTCTCAGGCCACCAGCACGTGCGGCAGGCGCCGTGCCGAGAGCTCTGCCGGCCGCAGTGACGCCGCTCATCAAGTCAGTGGAGCAGACTCCAAGGGCGGCCGCTGCACGTGACGACGGCGGCCTCTCTTCATTACGCCAGACTGAACCGCGGCCTGCCGTTCAGCCGGGCCACCTTCAATATGATGCAAATTTCCAGGCCAAGTTCAGTGATTATGGGGAATGTTGAGTGGCGCGGGCGTCGCATTCGTCTCGGATCAGCCCTGCGCATGCGCGGGTCCTGCACTCCGCTCACTTCACTGGCAGCCCGATAAAGCATTGACGGGCACTGGGAAGGCCGGCCAACACGGATCATCAGGCGTCACCAGACTGGGCAACTACGGGTCGGTGGCGATGGCACGCCTCCCGCTCGCACAAAGCGTTCGTAATCCAGTTATAACGGCATCGATTGGTACGCCCCCGCGGCCCCACTCGCGTATTGTGACGGGCGAAGAATATGACCCGATGTGGGCGCGCCGCTCGCCCCAGCCGCGCCCGCCATACTGCCGACGGCGCACCACGGCCCATTGGGAATATTCGGATAGGTGGCGTAAGGGACACAGCTGGACGACGCGAGACAGACAAGACCGGGGCAAACGGTGCCGGGCGGGGCACACTGGATAAGACGGAGGGCAGGGACACCCGGCGCAGTTGGGCCGACTGTGGCAAGGCTGAGTATAAGAAACTCAAGCGACTATCACGCACTGAACTGTCCTCGCTGTCATCAGATCCGAATTTAAATGCTGTGTACAACAGAACCTATCATCCCCGACTTGTGTGGCCACAACAACAATGAACAGCTCAACACGTATCTCAGAGACAATGGTTTAAAAAATTGTGCCTGATAGCATATGACACAATTTTTCCGAGCATTCACTTTTCAGACCAAACGATGAACTTAAGATCCTTCAGAGAGGGCGGGCAGCCAAGGAGCAACTGAGTGGTGTCACCGGGCCTGGGTGTCCGCCGCCGGCCGGAGACGGCTAAAAGTGTGACTCGGAGTGGCGGCGGACGCGTGGCCCGTCTCAGGTAGCAGGATGGACGAGTGGGCGGTGGGTCAAGGGTTCCCTGGCAGCGATGACTGTCTTTCGTCATTTTTAGGGGGTACCCAGATTTAAGCGTTCCGCAACAGAGTCAGCCCACTCATCACATGTACTGTTTGATGTTCGTAATCAAAAATAAACAAGGAGCAACGACGGGCTAGCGTCGGGCCTGTGGGGACAAGTCGATGTCAACCGGGGTCATGTGGGACCTGTGGGACCGGCCGATGGTGGAAGGTGTCAGATGGGGGTCTGTGGGGCAAGCCGACGGTAGCCGAGGACGGGTGGGACCTTTGAGGACAGACCAATGGTGGCTGGGGCAGACGGGTCTCGCCTGTGGGGACAGGCGGACGGTAGCCGTCGTAGTTATTGGGGCTTCACCAGGCACTCAGCTGCTGAGGCTACATGGCGTCGCCTGCCTCTCACTCGGTAGGAAGGGCGGCACCGCAGGGAACCGAGCCTCCTGAATCCGGTTCCCCTGACGCGCAGTGGTAAACGCAGACACGTTAACTACTACACTATCGGCACCCCTCCGATGGTGACCAGGGCAGGTGGGACAGACAAGGCGAATATCGAAACTTCAATCAGACGGTATCAGAAAAGGCCCAGGCGGCAGAGGTCTGATCAGAATCATCTGAACCGCAAGTTGAGAGGAACCAGCATCCTGCCAGCAGCCTTGCAACCTTGAAAGGCAAAATGCAGCAAAAACAGGGCATGACTGGCCGAGTCTGAAGTGGACCTGGGATACCATGAACAGTCAACACGACAGCCTTTGAAATCCAACTTAAAGCTCATATCATACGTCATGTTTCGATTCACTTACTGAGTGGAAGAAGCATTTGTTGAACGAAAAGACTGTTCGAAATTCAGCAGGGCATGAGATGGTATAACTTCCTACCGCGACGCAACTTACGAAACAGTTTACATTGATTTCGAACAGTAAGCCTCCATGACAAGTGAGTAAGCCATCCAGGACTGTTGTGCAAAAAATATCAACCAACTGTGGCCAATAAAAACCATGCGGAAAAGGCTGTTCGAAGTACGCTGCCACGAAGGAATGGTACGTTTAGGCGATGGTGAGGCTTCCTGGAAAAGTCGACGCCAGCTGAACACGCCATCCATCCAGAAGCGACACCCGCGGCGTTCTGTGGCGTTCACAGCCGATGCCACATCACCATGTTCGGCACAGGTCAGCAGGCGTTTATAATCGGTGTCACACCCACCCGTCACGACTGCTCCCCACCAATCAACCGTAGCGCATCCATTATTCAGTGTTGTGTGCATGTTTGAAGACCAATGCGAAAACCGGACACGGCGGAAGAGCGGCCCACCATCACGCATCGAATCCGTCACGATGGCGGCATCGCAGGCCGTGCCAGACGATGCCACCATCCCCGACTTCTCTACCTACTTGATCGCTGCTTGTTAGGCCTATGGAGCAGCACAATCTCGTAAGTGACTAAAGGGTACGTCAAAGCGGGTCACACCACCCATCGTGATTGAGTTCATATTGGCAAGGTATTGGACACTTCTCTGTCGGGCCCGGCCTGACCGCGGCACACACCGCCCCGCGGCAGACCCGCGTTCGGCCGTGCATGCCCTGCTGTCCAGGTGCGGATTTTATTGGATTTACGGCGGCCGGGCGTAGCTAATTCATGAGCAGGCGTCGCGACCGTGCGCCGGTCAGCGCGGTGTAACGACGGAGGCGGGGCGGCGCGCCGCCGCCCGGCCAGCCCATTCGTCCTGGTCACGGCCTCGTGTGGACGGCCCGTTTACGGTGCGGCACGACGGGCGGCCGGCCGGCGGCGGCGCCCCGGGCGCGCCCGTGCGCCCCGCCAGCCTGACTTACGCCGCTCGGGACGTGTCGGCATGCCGCTCGCCGCGCGTCGCACCACGCGCGTGCCTCTTCCGGCTACAGTTCGATGTTGTATGTGTCTCAGCACGCTAGAACCCAGTGCTGGTAATAAAATTAGATGCATGTAGAAACAATCCACAACCCATAGAAAAAGCACGTAGCTGTACGGCATGCGAATAATTGAAACGAATTTGGTTACGGGTAGCGTATATAACAGACAAGAGCTACCACACATTGTCACCCACAGCTCATCTTCCCTTACAATAACAATTTTAGCATTAAAACCATGAAGCAGAATGCAATGGGCACCAAATGACCACTGTAATCAGCGCGCCCGAAAACATCAATAAACAAAAATAAAAAGGATCGGAATGCAAGCTCCAATTGAATGTGCTACTTGACAACTGAAAACATAATGCACATGTACGCGAGGACATGCTAAACTCGACCCCACCCAAAACGTGCAATGCTGAAATATCAATGTTCACGTTTAGTATCCGTATTGAAGGCTAACTACCTGAACACAACAACCTAAATGACTGGCTTTAATCTGGGACTCTTTGAATTAAATGCATCCGTTCCATCACGAGCAGCACATGACGTTGCAACACCGGGGAAGTCTCAAGGCGTTCCACGGTTTGCCGCCGGCGAACGACCGGGCGCCTGTTTGTTTGAGAACGAAATGCAGTGCAAGACCAATGCGTAGCTGGGAATGACCTGATACGTCAGCGGAACTGAACTCCTAAAGTTAGCTCCTACCGCGACCGACCGAGGGCGTGGCGAACACCGCGACAAACACCGCTAAACTCACCGCAAAACAAGGCCACCACACGGGCTCTAGTGCTCGCTTTTGATGCCTTTCAGACTTGTTCAATTAGCGAACACAAGTGGCATTCGCTTGCTTCGCTGCGCGAAGCAGTCAGACCGTTAGCGCTGGCGGCGTCGACACCCGTGACGTCATTTGGCCCGTGTCACGACAATATCAAACGAGCCGCATTTAATATGGGCAAGCTGATTAATACCAATGGATCACTCGGGCGCACTGCCCATGCCACATTGTTCAACGCACTCGGAAAGTCGAATACGTATAATTTAGTCACGGTTTCCACTTCCTCCGTTGCCTGAAAGAGAGAATAAGAAGAGTTGGTGTCCGTATAGCACCTCCTAGAGCCACATCACATGGATTTGCTCATCAGCGATACGCACGCCGGCTTTGCCTTTACGCCTTTTCTTCCCCCTGCATACGCAAAAGTACATACTTGCCGAATGTCAAAACCCGTCCCGCTCCTCCCGCGCGAGCTGTGACTGACGCCTGAATCGGACGGGCGTGAAGTGATGTCGTGGAACGTCGCGAATGCTGGACTTGAAGGCGCAAATTTCACGGCAATCTGCGCAGCCGTCTGTACTCTGCGTCTGGCTAAATAAATGGAACGTACAGACGGAAAGTCGCACACTAGAAATATATGAATTGTGTCAAATTGTGTCAAATCCGGCATGAGCTGGCAGAAGTGATCAATGCAAATACACCCAGTACGAAAAAAAACAATAACGATTGAGAGCCAACCAACACGACTTAAAGGATAAACGCCATAAAACGAGACGATGGTGCGCCTCTGGGAGAACAAACCAGTGTTACGTCGGGCACCTTGTGCCGAATAGTACCCTGGTAAGTTGCCGACCACTGGAGCCAACTAACTTGTCACGTTTTCACCGATGACAGGGCAGTTATGAATGCCACAGCTGTGGCTCCGGAAGGTAAGGTCCCGCACAAAGCCTGAGTCATTGTGGTTCAGTCACGCCATTGTGCACATGTCTTCAGGGAGCGTGCAAACGTGGGTTCCTACTGCTGTCATCATGATGCACATCTAGTCGGTTTCCTGACATTTCACCTGATAAGCACAGCACGACATCCAATCGAGACGTGCCGGAAAGTCCAGGAAAGTGCCGGCAACTGGAGCTCTACTCGGTCACACATCGGAAGCTGAGAAAGGTGCCAGTCTGCTCGGTCTGCCTGTCACCCAACGGGCTGGGGAGCCGACCAAGTTGGATGGTGCCCCCCCCCCCCCCCCTCCCAGCACCGATCTGCTCGCGGGCCGCACCCACTGGCCGGCGCCGTCAGCAAACAAGAAAATTGCTAGCCCAATATTGTCAACTCGAAACGCTCGAGGATTTGTGGACAGAAAATCAGGCTGAGGATAGCAAAGATACAGAGGTTGGTGTAACTTCCACTGTCTGTCTTTCATGCTCGAATAAAAAAACAAGGTGGGTATAAAATATCCGTGAGTAAAGAAGCTATTGAAGAAATTTCAAGAAGATAGCTTGAAAACATGCAAGCGACATATATATATATATATATATATATATATATATATATATATATATATATATATATATATATATATATATATATATATACATGTCTATATATACGTATATATATATACATGTCTATATATACATATACATACATATATATATATATATATATATATATATATATATATATATATATATATATATATATATATATATATATATATATATATATATATATACGTATATATAGACATGTATATATGGTGGCATGTATATATATAAACATATATGTGCATATGTATATGTATATCTAAATCTAGATGTACATGCATAAAATATATGTATACGCATAAATAACATAT